CCCATCTCCAGGACAGGGAGGCTCCCCAGAAGTGTCTGACCTCAGGACTTGCTCCCCAATGTCTACTTTCATTACCTCCTTGATTAAAACCATTTCCTATTTTCAAAGGGAAAAAAAGACCCTTGGAAGCTCCAGAAAGCTTAGGGGTGAAGTGTTTCTCTGTGTAACAGTCCTAGCTGTCCTGGAACTCATTCTGTAGGCCAGGCTGGTCTCAAACTCACAGAGATCCGTCTGCCTCTGCCTCCCAAGTCCTGGGATTAAAGGCGTGCGCCACCACCACCCAGCTCCCGAGAGTCTTTTTTGATAGTTTTGAACCCGCTCTTTCCCTTTCAGAGCAGACCGCCTCCTTCCCTGGGGCCTCTTCGTGGGTGCTCCTCATGGACGTCTCTGCTCTTGACCCCATGTGCATGATGTGTCTTCTTGGATCATTGCTTGCTCTGATTTAGGGACTCCTGATTGATGATGCTATTTCCTGCCTCTCTCCAACCACCCCATTGGTGGTTGGTGTGGGCAGCTCAGAGTTGTGTCCAGACTCATCCAGAACAGAAAGGGCCCCAACTGGAAGACAGGACTCTCTAGAAGCCCAAGTGTCCCCAAGTGGAGTGAGCAATGGGGCCCATGTGCACTGATACCATCCCCAGTTTCCAATCCAGCTGACTCCTACCCAGCCTGCCATTGGCTTTAGGGATAGCAGGGTGTCAGTATAAGACATAGAAAGCAGGACAGCAGGAGCAGGCTGGCAGGGGCTGGTCCATTCGAACAAATTGAAAGGCCTTAAGGTCCAGTGGAGCAAAGTTCATCCTTTTCTCATTCTAGGGGCAAGGGGATCAATTAATACCTTAACCCTGGGCTTCCTCCTGCTATAGATGATGGCCGCACCTGTGTTTCTGTGATCACTTTCTCTTCCACCTCTGGGGCACCACATGAGAAACCCAGATGTGTTATGTGCTTATGTGTGTGTGTATGCATGCATGTGTGTTTTTATACATGTGTGTATATGTGTGTGAACAAGCATGTGTGTATGTGTGTATGAGTGTATGTATGTGTATATATGTGTGCTATGCTTGTGTGTATGTGTGTTCATGTGTGTATACATATGGGCACATGCATGTGTGTGCATGTGTGTACACACTCATGCGTGGGTACGTGTATACATGTTTACATGTGTCTTTATGTATGTGTGCTTACAAGTGTGTACATGCATGTATGGGCATGCATTATGTGTATGCATGTATGTGTGTTTATGCATGTGCATATATGTGTGCATGTGTGTATTATTGTGTGTACGTGTATGCATGCATGTGTGTTTATGAATGTGTGTATGTGTGTACATGCATGTGTATGTGTGCATGACACATGCACGTGTGTTTGTACATGTGTATATGTGTGTGCACATATATGTGTGTCTCTGTACGTGACTATGCATGTGTGTGCATGTGTGTTTATGTGGGTATGCATGCATATGTGTGCATTCATGTGTGTCTCTGTGTGTGCATATACATACATTGTGCATGTGTGTATGCATGCATGTGTGTATGTGTGTACATGAGTATCTGTGTTATGGATGTGTGTTTTCATGTGCACACTGTGTGCTTTTTCTGACAGCCCAGCTAAGTTTCTTCTGCAGCAGCATCTGGCCTGCACTTTCCTTGAGACAGTTTTCAGTGTCTAGTTTATATATGTGTTTCTTCTGCTGTCAGACTCTCTGATTCATCTCAGGCTTTTCAGCCACCGGCACCATTCTTTGCACATGCCAGACACTCAGGCCATGCTGGGGGGTGGATGAGTGTGCACATGGATGGAAGGAAGGGAAGGGAGGGAAGAAATAGTGGGAGGGGGGATGAAAGGGCAGACATGGAGCAGACGGACACTTCACAGCCAGAGTGGCATGCCTTCCTTTGGCCAGCACGAGGCCCTTATGATGTCTTAGTACCCAGTGGTCCCATTCAGGGGCCACCGCTCTCAGTCCAGCTGTAGCAGCTCTGCAGTCTGCTTGGGGCCAGGCAGGGCCGGGGGGGGGCACAGGAGGCCCATGCACGGGGCGCGGTAGCCCTGCAGTGGCGAGGCCATCTTGAGCCCAGATGTTTTACATTTGCCCATGTCTACAGACATGTGGGGGTCAAGGTGACATCAAGGGGGTTAGGCTGGGAGGCTCTCAGTCAAGAAGACTAATGAACCTGCCACTTGCTTCTGCCTGAGCCCCAGGCCCCTCTGGCAGATGAAGCCAACCCCAAAACGTACCCTACTGGGACAGCCCCTGCCATTCTGGGCTTTTCATGGACTATCCTGTGCTTCCCCTGGTGGGCTGGCTCAGCTCAGATATCAAAAGCTGCTGTAATTATTTCCTCCCACTGAGGAAGGCTTCCATTTAGCTTTCTCCCCCCGCCCTATTAATTATCTAATTATAACCACGTTCTCCAATAGAGCAGCTTTGACTCTCTGCCCGGGACCACTTTAAAAGGCTTAAATATTTGGAGTACTCTGAACTTGAAAAAGGGGAGAGAGGGAGGAGGAAGAGGGAGCAAGGAAGCACACGTGTGTGTGTGTGTGTGTGTGTGTGTGTGTGTGTGTGTGTGTGTGTGTGTGCCTAATTTTAGGGAAAATTTTAGACTTTCCAGATTGTTGTCCTGATTCCAGGGGAAAGCATTTGGGAGCTTTGACAAGCCCCTCACAGAGTTCAGGTCCTGGGAACAGTATAAATGTCTGAGACCCTTGCACACCAGCCACTGCAGGCATGGCAGTGTGGTGTGCTGCCCTGGACAGTCAGTAACAAGTCAGATGCAGCCCCTACTGTGGCCGCAGCAGACCTGGCTGCTCCCACCCTTAGTGACTTCATCCCCCACCCCAACAACACTTTCAGGGTGCTGTTGATGTTGACAGAAGCTTGAGCCACCTCCTGTCTCCTCCTCCCCCCTGTGGGCCACGTGGCAGTAATGTGACCTTGGACTACGTGGTCACCCCCTCTCATTCTGACCCTCAGTCCAGCATCTAAGCAACTCGCTGCACATCCTCAGGGAACTAACTCAAGGTGGGCACGGATGAGTGCTGGAGACCTGTTGTCAGAACCACCGGACCCCTCAAAGACGGGGACTTCCCTCCAGCACAGGTGCCCCTTCCCCAGAGAGCTGTCCCCTGTCCTGTCACTTCCGGGCAGTGTGGTTCCAGACCAGCCTTCGCTAAGAGAGGACTGGATGTATGTCCATATGTGTATGCACGTATGTATGTGTAAGTGTGTTGCCTCACAGGTGAACACGGCTCTGTCGGCCAGCATGCCGTCTGTCGTGCTGCCCATATCGAATGCTGCAGGAAACGGCAGCAGTAGAGGCTGTACTAGGCGACACCCAGAAGGTTCCCACACCACATCCTAGTCAGAGCGGAGTTGGTAAGCGGGAGTTAGCGGCAGGCCGCATTGGCTCCATTTTCACTGATTCACGGGACTTAAAAACCAGTTGTATGACCTTGTAGTGATAGGAGTGTTTTAACTCAGTGACAGCCGAGTGAGCAAGAAACACAACACAATATACACTACACACCTCACTGCACATGTATGTCACTCATACCCACTCTACACTTTATACACAGCACACATATGCTATGTACACATATCACATACCACACACACATTATACACACATAGCATATACCACACACTGCATACAGACATCACATCTTATGCACTCACATACATATACCACATATATACTATATACACACACGCCACACACACTGTACACACACCACACATATACTATACGCATACATCACATGCCACACACACACACACTTTATATATACATCACACACTACACACATATCACACACCACACATGCTATACACACACCACAGATACACTATACAGACACATCCCATACCACCACACTACAATACTATATATACATCACACACTACACATAAACAGTATCACACACATCACACACATTACACACACACACACACACATTTTCTGCACTCAACCTGTACACACGTATATGCCCCACACCATGCACAAAAGACTGTAAGTGAACTCCGGGCCTATACAGATGTTGAAGCTATGGTGCTTTTAGGTCTTAGCTTATACTTTGGGGGAAAAGGGTTGAGATGCTCATAGAAGTTTTCTGCACATTAATCCAATTTCTTGGGACTCTACCATTATTTCATTTATATTTTATTGATTTCATATATTATTTCATATATATAAATGATAATTATATATCATTATATAAAGTTTAAGTATAGATTCCCAAGAATTAGCAAAGGGAAATCCACCTGCCTTTGATGGCCCTCCCCAGCAGCTGACTGTTTTCCTGATCCTCACCCCATCTCTCCCAGCTCTGGGCAGCCCACCACCTACAGTGGCCTCCCTGCAGCCTCACCCACTGTGGGCGTCTCTCTCAGGGGCCAGCGTGTGGCCCTGAGAAAAATATGGTGCTCTACTTCTGTGGGACAATAGTCTTTTATTCTGTCACTTGTATTATTTTTAATAAACCCTGATTGGCCAGTAGCCAGGCAGAAAGTAGAGGCACGGTGACAAGAACAGGGGAATTCTGGGAAGAGGAAAGGTCAGTCTGCAGTCCTCACCCAGTCAGAGAGGAAGCAAGATGAGAATGCCTCGCTGAAGAAAGGTACCAAGCCATGTGACTAACACAGACAAGAATAATGGGCCAATAAAAGGCGTAAGAAAGAGTTCATAAGAAGCCTGAGCTAATCGGCTAATCAGTTTATGATGACTGTAGACCTCTGTGTGTTTCTTTGGGACTGAACGACTGTGGGACTGGGCAGGACAGAAACCTCAGTCAACACCGTACTGTGTGGACCTTCCAGGGCCTGGGAACTCTGAGGTCTGGCCCTGCACCTGCCCAGCTTCTGCAGCGGGTGGGGAAGCTGAGAGTCGTACAAGGCCTGCTCTCTATACCCACAGCCCCAGGCTCTCTCAGAGAATGGCCGTACTTCCCCAAACGTCAGATGCTGCAACATCTCACCCTCTCTCCTTCTCTTTCAGACCTGCCTGCACATCTCAGGCAAAAGTGGAACCGGATGCGTCCGCGGCTCTGACTTCTGGCACCTGGACAACCTCGTGGCTCCTCATGCCCCCAGTGCCCAGCTGAGTGTTCAGAGGGGACAGCAATGGCAAGGGACAGCGACCCAGGTTCACATCCTTCTCAGAGATACCCATGGGATGGGCACCAGCCTACCTGCCAGTGACTTTTGTGCCCTCATCTCCTCACCATTGGATTCTCCTCCTGGGTTTTGGTTTTGGGGAGGGGGATCTTTTTGGAAAGCTCTAGATTCAGGAGTGCATTTATAAGGATATGTTGGATTGTATTTCCCTCTAAGTGCCTTTTTTAATGTATATTTTTAAATAAAACAGAAGTACATTCTTGTAGAACCTGTTTAAACTGGACCAAGGCTCTCAGAACAAGAACCCAAGACCCCTCCCACCCCAGACCTCCCGTGACTGTTTCGAGGAAGCCTGGAATTCTTGCTCGCACATTCCTGCTCTTTATCTCTCCATGGCCTGCCCAGCTAGCCATTTTTTATATTCCCTGTTCAGTGTATATGTTGCTTATTTGTTTATTTATTGAGATATTTTACCAGCTAAGTGACTGCCACGCGCTGTGTATACTGCTCCACACCCAGGAACAATAAAGAGGCCCGCACAGCCCTGCCGTTGCCCCTCTGTTCTCATCTCTACGCCCGAAACACCTTGTCACTCTAAAGGGGATGAGCAAGGATGAGAAACGTGCATTTGATTCTCCACACGTTACTAGTTGTAGAACTTTCTAGAAGCCAGCAATGCTGATGTGTGTTAAAGTCAGCATCGGCAGACCTAGGCCTACAAACCAAAGTGTGTTGGTTCAGTCCCTGTGACAATAGAACGAACAAACAAGCAAACAAACAAAAATGGGGAGCCAACTTGAAAGACAAAATGCTTACTTTGGCTAATGGCTTCAGAAGCTTTAGTGTGTGAGTGGCTGGCCCCATTGCCTTTGTGTCTGTGGCAAGGCTGTAAACCATGGTGGAAAGGGTGTGGTGGAAAATTGCTCACCTCACAGTGGCCGGTGGTTGGGAAGAAGAGAGAGAGAGAAGTGGTCAGGGACCCACCACTGGAGAAGCCTGGCCAAGTTCAAGGCCAGGAAACAGCAAAGGCTCCAAATTGTCGTTTTTGGAGCAAAACCTCATTCATGTCCTAGGGCACGTGGCCTACAGTTTCTCCTTCCGGGGACAACAGGAGGCTGCCAGGATATACATCCTTTGACCAGAGTTTGACTGCTCTGTGTCACCAGAGGTGGCTGGAGAAGTACCCGCATGAAGGTATGTCTGTAAGACCGTGAAGATGATGGAGCTGGCGGTAACTCACTCCTGTGGGCTGTGGGGTCAGAGATCTCTGTGTATGATGTCCAGGTTCTGTGGAGGGTGAATGTCCTACAGGAAAGAGTACAATCCAGTCACAGGGGTTTCAAATTCTGATACCAACTTGTATGCTCTAAGTCCAGTGACATTTCCAGATGGTGACTACAGAGCAAAAGACACCGAAGGATGGCCACCACCCGTGCAGTAAGACACAGAGAGGAGGCCAGTACAGTGCAGACATCAGAGAGCAGAGGCCGGAGGGATGAGGCCAGAAGGCAGCACGGGCCAAGCCATAAGCAGATTACATGTCACATATGGGGTGACCCTTGGGTTTGTGGAGCACCATCTATGAGATATAGGGTGCAGGGGATAGAGGGCCTTAGGGAGAAGAGCAGAAATGAAGGGTCATGAGGACAGGCTGGCAGTGTGAAGCCAGCAGACATGGGGTGACTGCAGGGACTGACAACTGATAGAATTGGGGGGGGGCTGGGACATGGCAAGAGGCATCCATCTCAAAATGGCATCTCTGTAAGGCTGGGTACAGGCTGCCCAGATTGGCTGCTGAGTGGTTAGAAGGAGGAGGGTTTTGTAGGGAGCTTCATGAGGTTTGGCCTCTGCTCCTAAGGTGCTATGAAGCAAGAGCAATACAGGTCCACTACCTGGGGCAAATGGGCAATATGTGTGAGCATGTGGGGGTGTACATGTTTGTGTGTGTACATGTATGGCTGTACATGTGTGTGGGTATATGTGTGTGAGTGTACACATGTGTATGTTTACATGTGCACGCACATGTTTGAGCGTGCTTGTACATGTATGTGTCCATGTGTGCATGTGTTTGTGCATGCATGTACATGGGCATGCATGTTTATGTGTGCATGCATGTTAAGGCACATGTGTGTACATATTTGTGTGCACATATGTGTACATTTGTGTATACATGTTTATTTGTGTGTCTTCATGTGTGTGCACACGTGTATATGTGTACATATTTGTGTACACATGTGTGCATACGTGTACACAGTTGTCTCTGTGTGTAGTACACATGTTTATTTGTGTGTACATGTGCATGTATACATGTTTGTGTGCACACATGTGTCTTTGTGTATGTCTCTTCATGTGGAAGCTAGGAGTTTGGCAGTTGGTGTCTTCTATCACTCTCCTCATCATTTACTTACTTATTTATTTTAGTGGCATTTATTTATATTGCATACGCGTGAGCACGTGTGTACAACGGCACACTCGCGCAGGTCTGCAGGAGTCAGCTCTTTCCTTCCATCAAGTGGTGCTAAACCCAGGCCATCAGGCATGAAGACAAATGCCTTTCCCACCAAGCCATCTCACTCACCATGTTTCTTGAGGCCCTTGTCAATTCAGCAAAGCTGGCTGCTGCAAAGATCTGCCTGGCTCTGCCTCCCCAGGGCTGGGTGCTGGGGTCAGACTTAGGCCACCACACCTGAGCTTTTTATGTAAGTGCTGAGGACTCAAGCAGGCCTTCATGCTGGCAGCCACTTTCCTGGCTGAGCCATCTGGCGTCAGGATTCTTGAAGAGCACAGCTCTGGTGGAAGGGACGAGAAGAAGTTGGAAGGAGCCTTGGGGCCCTTGCTGGGGAGGGCTCCATTTCTTTGGCATGGGGTGGCAGAGCTGGGGCCCCCTCTGAATAACTGGGAGCAGTGCAGGCAGCCACCAGTGATCCAGGGAGAGCACGACACCCAGAGGTTTTCAGTGCCGGGTCAGATTCCTCCTGACTTCATGGTCCTACACCCCTCTGAGCTGGATTTCTGCTTACAACACAGAACGTTTTAACGAATGAGTGTCCGACGCTTCCACCAAGAGCAGAAGTTAGAAGACTGCTGAGAACGGCCAGGCGGACACAAGGAAGAACACAGAAAGCTTTCTCGACACATTGACGACTTGAGAGGCCACGGCCAAATGGGAACCTTGACAGTGGCTCCTAGGAAAAGCACAACCAGGTGTAATATTCTTAGAACACAGCTGGTTGTGACCCTGAGGTCACGAATACTCTCCAGGCTCTGGGAAGGCCTCCATGCAAAGAATGAGCAGAGATGGCTTTGTGTCTTGATAAGATCCACAGCACAAGGAAACAGCAACCAGTATCTGTGAAGAAAGGATGGTGAAAACCAAAAACCTCCCCGGGGGCTGTTTCCAAAGTGAACGGGCAGGGAGGGGCAGAGTTTGGGGTGAACCTCTGGATGTTTGCTGCCAGTGCTTGGGGCCACGCAGATGTCTAGGGGTGAGAAGAAATCCTGATAAGGTCAGCACCCACCTCTGAGCACCCCATGAAAGCCAGCTTGCCACATGGAGGAGCAGGAAGGCCTGTCATTTCATCCTGCCGTGCTGAAGATAAGCCTAGGGACACCTGTGCTAGGCTCTGTCTGTGGGGACAGGATCCTCTGGACAGGGCACGTGCAGGAGAGCTGCCCGTGCTGCTACAAACTGCTTATCTTTTCTTGTTCAATGGATGGAAGTGCCCCCCCCCCACCCGCTCCGTGGTTGGGTAAAGGATTCACACAGCCCGGGGTGGTTGTGCTCCGCGTTTCGCTTTATAGACTTTCCACAAAAACACTCCTTCCCTTCCTGGCCTTACATCTTGAAAACGTACTGCTCCCTTAGTTTTGTTCAGATTTTAAAGCACTGTTTTGATGCCAAGATTAACAAATGTGACTCTTTATCATATTGGAACTGACCCAGCAATTCACAGATTAAACAAAAGCAGACAAGGCTAAGGAGTTGGAAGGGATTGCAAATTTCTATTAGTTGGATGGTCCCACTGACCTCCAGACCCGGTTCCTCCCACTGTCCATTTTGTGGAATTCTAAAGGTGAGGGGGGGGGGATTAGAAGACCTCTCTCTGTTCCCATGTCTTTCTCCTCCATGTGGACAGTCATCACACAGCCATCTCTGTCCCTCCCACTCTGCCGATTGGAGGGGAGGGGATCGCTGGACAACCACTTGGCTGCCAAGAGCCCAGGCATGGGTGGCCTCTATCAAAAGGATGAGCTGGGCCAAGCAGGGTCCTCTGGGGGTTTGGGAAACAGAGGCTGCTCTTGTTGGCTGTGAGAACCGAAGCCAAAAGGATATGATTCCGGAGTCAGCAGCAGAGGTGGGGGAGGTGGTGGCATGCGAACCCTAAGAAAACTGGGAGATAGAAAAACAGAATCCATGAGGAAGCAGAGGAAGTAGGCTGGCAGAGGAGCAGCGCAGGAAGGAGAGATGAACTCATCACCCAGGAGCAGGTGAGGAGCGTCTACTGGCCCTTGCTGGCTTCTACTTAACAGGGCATTCTACTGTACCTAGGATGGTTTTTGTCCATGTTCTGCATCTATAACAAAATACCTGTAATTAGGTCATTTATAAAGAAGAAAAGCTCATTTGGCTCATGATTCTGGAGGCTGAAAGTCCAAGTCTGTGGCACTGGTGCCTACTCAACTTCTGGGGTGGGCATGCAGAGGTGGTACATGGTGAGACAGAGCAAACATGCTAGCTAGCTCTCTCTTTCTCTTTTCAGAAAGCCAGCAATGCCTCCACAGAGACACACCCTCATCCAATCCTGTTTACCCCAAGACTTTGCATTAATGTACGACTTTGGGAATTAAGTTTTTAACACAGGAACCTTTCTTGCCACCTGCAAGCCACACCTCTGTCAACCTCTTAAGTCACATCTTGCTTCCATTGCTACAAGGAACAGACTGGGTGTAAGTGTGTCCTGACCATCAGGTTTGCTCATTCTCCACCCAGGGCTTCCTAGCCATCTGACACTCATCTGTTCTAGAGTGCTGGTGCAAAGGGGTTCACACACCTGATACAATTCTGATAAACCTGATCCTCCAGGTCCCAGAGTGGGACAATTCTGAGGCCATCTGCTCGGTGGCTGCTGAGGGTCCTTGGCACAACTGCGCCCCCACTGCCTACAGTGACATCCACGTGAGTGGGGTATCTTGGACCAGGTCTTCTAGACCTTCTTTATTTTTCAAATCCCACTCTAATCTCACATTTCCTGGGTATTTTATAAAATAAATTACACTGAGCAAAATTCTCAGCTCTGTCCCGAGGGAGAAGCAAAGCCAAGGATCCAAATCTCCTACTCCTAGGAACTTGGGGGACAAAGTCATCAGACCCAATTCCTGTTCAAAACAAAGCTTCAAGAAAATTTAAATCCTAAAATATAAAAGAAAGTGGATCCAGAGCAGCAACAAAGTTTGCAAGCACCAGTGTCTCAAGAACAGCAGACCGTGCAGACTGGAGAGTCTGCGGGGAGCAGAGACCTCCCAAGAGGGAGACTCTACTTAGAGGCTC